TAAGATGAATAATCAAATAAAAACATAGTAGGTTCATTAGTGTGGTGTATCCATTCCACTTCTTTTAAACTTGAGCAACGAACTAATAGTATAGGTACACCGCCTGTTTAGTATTGACCTATCATATTTTTTTTATAATTGTGTAATTTTTGTATAAATATAGTAGGTATACATATACCCATAGAGTAGATTAGATACTAATAGATTACTCTATGCATATACCTAAGATAGATGTTTTTCGACTATAGGTTCTATATTATATTATTAACTAAATAATGAGTAATGATCAATATAAAACAACTTATAAACATACATTTTAACTTGTAACAGTGTAACACAGTATATTATGTATACGTATGTTCGATAATCGGTCAAAATATCCAAATGTATCCGTTTTTATGTAAATTAGTAGATTACACTTTACTTACTAATAAAATTAGCTCAAATCACTAATTACTAATAGTAATATAAATTACGTCAATAGTAATAATATCACAAATTATACTGCACATTCATTCGATATTTTGTCCTAGATTCCTTATGTTCATATTAAAATTTTTTTTTGGTCTTTTTCGCAATTCTTTCATCACATCAAGCCATATCATATTATGAACTAAGCAATTCTACCAAAGTTAATAAATATACTGTAGTTGAATTAAATCTAATAGGTGCATTACGCGAATATCCCTAAAAATATAAATTATTTTTCTTAGTTTTTTTATGTTGTAAATTAATTTTGGTTTCCGCCACATATGGCTACAAATACGAATTCCTAAATACCTATTTAAATAAATTAGAAATAGAAATTGATTCACAAAATCATACAATTTTTGTGTATATATTCACGGATTAAATACAACTATTATTTAATCTGTGATGTAGTTGTGTAAAGCAAGGTATTGTGTTATGAATTTATTACTTAATAGTTATAATTAATAATATTGTAAAGAACATAAGTTATCAATTCAATTATTTTGTTTGTAAAAAATATTTAAAAATAAATTAATAATTCACTATTGATAAAATGATAAATTGCGTATTGTGTTCGCGGATTCTCAATAATAAATTACTGACGGAAAAACAAAACATTTTTATGAAACCCACTTCCATTGATTAAATATATTACATAGGTAAAAATTGAATGATCGGGCACGACGAGTTTATAGACCTCAGAGCAGTGGCGGATTTGATTCGTCTTTTTAGGGGGGGGGGCAATATCCATTGGGTCCAAAAATGATACTACTTTTTGGGCGGTACTGGTTTGCGCACAAATACCAAAAAGACAACTTTTTTGGGCACAAAACTACCACTCGTTTGGGAACAGTTGAGCCGTAAACATGCACATGGTTTGCGCACAGTTACCTTTTGGCCTGACCTTTTAATACCATCTTAATAAGTAAATTATTAAAGTACCTACATACATTTTCCTTCTCACTTAACAGACTTAGGACTGTCTATGAATATATTCATAGGTGTGGTTAAAAATGTATGTTAATACTTGCTTATTATTAATAATAATTGTTAATAAATTATGTTAAAAATGCATATAATATAATGTTTGTGTAAAATGAGTTAATTTTAATTTTAATATAATGATATAGACCTATAGTCGATATGATTGGGAAACGTGTCTATTATTTTCCGTAATAACAGTATCCCATTATTTATAAGTATTTCATTCGGTCTATTTCGCCAGATCTATATTTTGTCCATAAGCTTATGCGATGTTCGACTGATTCTATTGACTCCTTACGGCGATAATTATTTATACTTTTGTTGATTGATGTTATTTTTAAATCTGATTCCGTTTGTATTTTAAGAATAATAAAATAATAAAACTTCACTAATTTCTAAATCCATGTTCAGTAAATATAGGTTAGAGTCATAAATTCTATGTATGCACACTATAAGTTCTCGAGACGTACTGATTGTAAGGAATTTAATAACATTTCCGTACTCTTTATCGATGATTATCATTGCCTACTAAATATAGTTATTTTCCGGTGGAAGACATAAGCACCAAAATGAGATAAGAAAAAAAAAGTGGTATCGTACAAAAGCGCCAAAATCGTGTATCGTACATAAACTCATACTCCAAGTTCATACTCAAAAGTTTAATCTTAATCGACAAATGTATAAGCTGATTGTCACATAGACAGTTGTGTGTGAGCAGTTTTGTGTTGTAACATATTGTTATAGTACCTATTTCGTAAGCATTCGTTAAAATGGATTTTACAAAAATTGTTACGAATGAAGGTGTTGTGTGTATTTTGTTTAAAGAGCAAAAATATAGAAAATATTCTATATTCTAATATTCTATATAAAAATATTCTTATAAGACAGCAATTTTCAAATAACTATTTATAGAAAATAATATTAATATAATATAGTATACATATATAATATCATTTTTATAAGATATATCAATTTAGAAAAACTACTTATATAAAATATTTATTTTGGCGCAAATGATATGTCATTTTTAACAGTTAAAAGTTAAGTTAATGAAAAGCCAAAAGTAACTAGTTAAGTTAAAAAGTTAATATAAAATTAACTTATTAACTTAACTTTAACTTTTTAACTCGTTATTGCCCAGCCTTGCATTTTTGCACCTTTGGCGCTTATGTCATATAGCCTTATTTTCGTGTGCGCAAACCAGTTGTACATTTAGGANTTAATGTAATATATTATATGAAATAAAATATTAAATTTGGCGCAAATGATAGGTCATTATTATACCTTTGGCGCTTATGCCATGTGTTAAGTACAACAGGTATACAATATTAGATTGGCGCTTATGTCATACAAATTTTGGCGCAAATGATAGGTCATTTTTGTACCTTTGGCGCTTATGTCATGTAGCCCTACTAAATATAGTTATTTTCCGGTGGAAGACATAAGCACCAAAATGAGATAAGAAAAAAAAAGTGGTATCGTACAAAAGCGCCAAAATCGTGTATCGTACATAAACTCATACTCCAAGTTCATACTCAAAAGTTTAATCTTAATCGACAAATGTATAAGCTGATTGTCACATAGACAGTTGTGTGTGAGCAGTTTTGTGTTGTAACATATTGTTATAGTACCTATTTCGTAAGCATTCGTTAAAATGGATTTTACAAAAATTGTTACGAATGAAGGTGTTGTGTGTATTTTGTTTAAAGAGCAAAAATATAGAAAATATTCTATATTCTAATATTCTATATAAAAATATTCTTATAAGACAGCAATTTTCAAATAACTATTTATAGAAAATAATATTAATATAATATAGTATACATATATAATATCATTTTTATAAGATATATCAATTTAGAAAAACTACTTATATAAAATATTTATTTTGGCGCAAATGATATGTCATTTTTAACAGTTAAAAGTTAAGTTAATGAAAAGCCAAAAGTAACTAGTTAAGTTAAAAAGTTAATATAAAATTAACTTATTAACTTAACTTTAACTTTTTAACTCGTTATTGCCCAGCCTTGCATTTTTGCACCTTTGGCGCTTATGTCATATAGCCTTATTTTCGTGTGCGCAAACCAGTTGTACATTTAGGACAACCGTGTGCGCAAATGAGTTACTATTTTTCAGGTAAAAATTATAAAATGTGCGCAAACAAGTTGCAGCCTACTTTTTAACCTACTGAGGAAAAAAACATGTACAGTGGATTCCGCTTAATGTGGGCACGTTGGGACCAGCCCTGTTTGCCCACATTAAGCGGTTGGCCATAAAAACCGAATTAACATTGTTAATATACATTTGTATTGGGACCAGCTCTGTTTGCCCATATTAACCGGTGCCCACAATAAGCGGATTCCACTGTAATAGGTTGGTATGGGCGAATGTAAGTTCCTACACGAGAGTAGTAGGTACACAAAATACATACGTTAGTTCCTACACGACGGAAAAAGGTACATATGTAAGTTCCTACACGGTAAAAACCAGGTACGTATGTTAGTTCCTACACGGCGGAAAAAGGTACGTACGTAAGTTCCTACACGGTAAAAACTAGGTACGTATGTTAGATACTGCGGAAAAGGTTAAATATGTATATTATACACAATTTTAATATGTATCTACGAATTAAAAAAAACAAATATATTATGATGATTAAAAAATATAATAAAAATCGTCATTGTGCATTTTCACAAATAAATAGTATATAATATGGTGATTAAAAAATATAATAAAAATCGTTTTTTCCCGTAATTTTGTATAAGTTTTGCTTTAAATGAAGTATATTAATTTAATGTATATTAGTAAGCTACGGCTGGACATATTATTATTAAAACGATACGTCTATGTATAATATACATATTTAACCCTTTCCGCAGTGTAGGAACTAACATACGTACCTGTTTTTTACCGTGTGGGAACTTACATATGTACCTTTTTCCGTCGTGTAGGAAGTAACGTATGTAATTGTTTACCTGCTACTCTCGTGTAGGAACTTACTATTCCCCGTTAGTAGGAAGGTAAAAATGTAAAATAAATATTTATATTAAAAAATTTAAATGGTTAATTAACATATACAAATTTATATATATTAAAAAACTATTTACACCCTACAGAGGCCGTGATTATAATTCTTAGAACTTCTATACGGATTTCTGAAAAAAATTATTATTTATACGTAGTTTGATGTCTAGGGGGGGGCCCATGCCCCCCCCCTAAACGCCGCGCCTGCCTCAGAGTAAAATATTAATTATGTAGGTAATATACTAATATACATTAATCTTTAGATCATATTATTTTGGTCAGATGATCTGAGCCACAAGATTTAAGTTACAAAATATCATTATTACATTGATTGGCTTACCCTTGGTGGATCCACCTTGGGCTTATCTTTTAACATGGACCAGTTCTGTACTTCAGTCTGTAGATGTTACTGTCTGTGCTATCACAGAATAAATAAATTGTCGACAAACAACAATATTATTATTCCGACGATTGTCGTGGCTCACGCCGCCAGATGGCGCCTTATATTATCAAAACAATCAGACTGGCAGGTAGGTATAATATAATATTATTTATTTTATATTTTGTAAACACAAACATGAAGTGTGTTTCTTTCGCTACGAAATTAAGATTAAATACGTTTTACGAGTGTACGCTTCGCCGACACCATCAGATATTCAGATTCTGATGAGTTGAGACGATTCCAACGCATTCGTCATCAAGAAGGTTCTTAACCGGCCCCCAAAGTCGGAAGTATCGATCATGTTACCAAACTTTAGTCCGGTCGTCCAGACACTGTTCGGCACTTTGTTTACATGGGGCTTAACGGCTGTCGGGTCCAGTTTAATACTGGTATTCAGCGGTACTCAAGTAAATATGGATTCTAAATTTTAGTGTATTTTTCCTCTAAAACAGCAATTTGACAAGTGGAATGTAAATTTAAATTGGTGATTGATGTCTTTTGCAGAGAAAGCTACTAGATGGGAGCTTGGGATTTTCAAGTGGTGTGATGATAGCGGCATCGTATTGGTCACTGTTAGCACCAGCAATTGAACTTGCTGGACAGGACAGTACTTATGGAAATGACGGACAGTTTTCATTTATACCGGCACTTGTTGGTTTTGTATTTGGTGCATTTTTTGTGTATTTATCAGACTTAATCATATCAATGTATGAAATGGACGTACTTAATATTTTAATACCTGGTAAATATTTTTTTTATACATCTAAAGTTTATACTTACAATTGATTAACAATATATAAACAAATGCGTCAAGTTGAAATTTCATATTCTGAGTAAAATATAAGACCCTCAAATAAGTATACACGGTACCTATTTTTTAAAGATTTAATTTGAGAATCAATATGCTTCAATATTAAAATTTATAATAAAATAATCACAAAATATATTGTCTGCTAGGTTTTCTTCTATTTTAGAATCTAACAATAGTTCAGTGATTTTCAATACTTTTCTTAGAGTTAATCTTAAATTGTTGTCATTAACCACTACATATTATAATGAAAAATAATTCAAAAATATTAATCTTTTAAAGAGTAGTTTTCCAAATATTAAATACTGCTATTATTTTAATATTCGTTTTTACTTTAAGCTTAATAATTATATACAATTATTATTTATTATATAATTTTTCCATGTCATTTTGTTTCACATTATTTATTTATTTAAAATTTTTATTTTATTTCTAGAAGCAAACCAGTGTTCAAAAAAGAAGTTCAAATGTGATTCTGATACAGAGCATACTTATTATAAAGACAATCAACAATCAATTGGAATTACAGATGGTAAGAATTGTAGTTAATCTTGTTAAGTGTACTGGTTATTAAGGCAAAATTCAGAATGAATACCTTTCTGGCCTAACAATTAAAACTCTAGTGGTTCTCTATTCATGAAATGTATTAGAATCAGGGCCGGCGACAATGGGGGTATGGTGGGTCGTCACCCCCCCCCCCCCTGTTGAATTTTTTTGTAATTATCAGTCGGCAATTTCAAGGAGCCGTTGTCCGTTGGAAATTTTACTTTTTAAAAAAAAAAAATGTATATTTAATGGTATAGGAACGGGTCCCGGCAGTCGGCAGTTGAGAATTTACCGATTTAGAAATCTAAATACTGCCGACTGATATTGTCGGCTAAGGAGTAAGGACCCATATTATAATTTATAATACTATAATAAATATTTGTTTTTGTACGTTGTACACCGTTAAGTCTGTCGGCATATCATTGCCATCGCTAATCGGCATTCGGCAATCCCTATCTCAGGTACCCGTATATAATCTATTTTATAAAATAATATGATGTACCTACTGCCATCTGCCGTCTGCTAAATTAAAAAAAAATTTTATTATTTACTTAATTTTTTAAATTATTGACAAACACTGATTGATTTATATTCGTACACGACTTATTTTTTAGATCTTATAATAGTTCCGACAGCCTTGTATCTTTACATCTGTATGAAATACAAGTAAAAAATATTTTAACTATGCATAAAATGGTTTAAAATGTTTTAGTTCTATATTTTGTTTTTGTTTTTACTATTTTACTTCATCTTAACACAGAAAAACCTGGAATTTTTATACTTAACATATTTTTTTTTAGAAATTTTGTGTCGGCATAAATTAAATTTGAGTCGGCAATACTTGATCTCACACCCCCCCGACAAAATTGTGTAACACCGACCCAGATTAGAATTAATTATTTGAAATGATGATTTCTCAGCCTGTCACATATTTTTAAATTGGCTGCTATTTTCTTTCAGACCTGGTTATAATAAGTATTTAAAATGTTGAAATTTGAATATTTAAAAAATTTTATGTTTTAATGTGAAATTGAGTTTTGCTGCATAGAATATAATGTTAGTGTTAATGTTTTTTTTCTTAAATATATTGCTGACTTTTTATTTATGAGTACTATAAATACAACATACTATGTAAAAAAATTAACCTCACTTCCCTAAACAACTCGTTCATTTTATAATTGTATAGTTAAGAAATAATTCAAATAATTTATTATATAATTTAAATATTTATAAATAATTATATTTCAAAGTTATGTTATAAAAATGCCTAAAGTAATATTAGTAGAATACAATTTTATGTAATATATATTTTACATTAATTTGTTTTTCTTATCAATTTGTCAGATCTTATACATATGTCTAATATAAATTGTGTTTTAATATTTTTTTTAGAAATATCAGATGCAAGACAGCGATGCTATAAATCTACCCATCCGCCACCAGAATACACTGAAATAGAATGTGATAATGATGTGAAAGCATGTAGTTGGAAACGTATACTATTACTCATTATCGCTATCACTGTGCACAATATTCCTGAAGGCCTTGCTGTTGGCATAGCGTTTGGAGCTGTTGATTCATCGCCTTCTTCTACATTTAATAGTGCCAGGTAAATTACCTTATTATAGAACAAAAATATAAATGAATAATTATTTTTCTGAAAACCTAATGTTTTGTAATTAATTACAAGCCGGTAATTAGGGTTATAGAATTAGGGTGGCCTAATTATGGCCAACATTTACTTACTCTCCTCCCCTGAATATAATTGAATAAAAAATATTACATTATATGAACTCTTGCACCACTTTCACAGTTGTGATAAAATTGTGCACTTTGTGTAAGAATTATTTGTCATCAACAATTATTGTAGGATACTGATGATTATAATGATTTGTCTAGATTATATAAAGATACCTAGTGCCTACCGGCTACCACAAATATTATAAATTGTAGTACTTGCACCAAGCAGTGATGGGAAATTTTAAAATAGGAACCATGGGTTAATACGACTGTAGTATAGATTCATTGTATCCTACATAATATGACTAGTACCCTCAAATAATTTTTATTCCAACAATGCTGTTTAAAAATTGAGTAGAACCGGTGTGATAAATTACAACCGCTTTTAATCATATTTGTCTTTATTGTGTTTATATCACTTTAATAATAATTATGTAATAACACCTAACAAATATAATTATAGTCAACATTTTAAAATATGGTTTAACTGTTTTTATTATATTTGAGCCTTGAGTATTTCATCAATAAATTGGGGAGTCTGGACATTCTAAGCCACCAATTAACGATGTGTCTGATTAAGTTTATAATTTGTTTGACAAGTAATACAATATATAAATTACTTGTAAGGTTATAAATATATAACAAAAATTAAAAACTTTGTCTTATGTACAATTATTTAATACTAGATAAGAAAAAATTGAATAATTCTTAATGTCCATTTTTTAATTTAAGACTCAATCACTAGTTATGTAATTATCAACTTAATTGTTATACACATTTAAAATTATATCAGTTAAAAATTTTAGTTTTTCAAAAACTTATATAGTAGGTTAGTCCTTTATGCAGTAAAAAAATCCAAATCAAATTATAGGACATCCGGCTGAAGTTTTAAGTATTACCATGAATTGGGACCTCACTGTATATATTTTTATTTTATCATAAAATGTTATTTGTTCTTGTTATAAATATCTATTTTATTATATAAACCTATGATAGTAATATATTTCAGATTTCAAACAAATAATTTAAATTACACATGGTTATAAATAATTGTCATTTATGTTATTACTTTAATAATAGTTAGATTAGATAGCACCATAGTAAAATGTATTATATTTATTAAACAAAATATTTTATTTTTACTAGATATTAACATTATTGGCATGGTAGACATATAAAAGCATTAACCATAGTTCTTTTTATAGTAGGACTGGCATTATGAATATTTTTTAATTTTTATTACTATAGTAATATCATTGATTATGTAAACCATTTGTTTATATAATCAATGGTAATATGAATATCAACATTAAAACTCAAACAAATCTTATAGAGCTGAAGTAAGTAAAGACCAGTTTTAATCTTCAGCTTATAAATTGTAAATTTGAATTGTTCTCTAATTTCCAGTGTTGCATTACTTAAGTGCTAAAGGGGCATATGCCTCTAACTTTGCCTGTAACTACTTAACCAAAAAAAATAAATATGTTATAATAATGATTTACAATTCATTTATAAATTTAAATCATGACCTTAAATTATTTTAATATAGATTTAAAAACAAATTAATACAATTTAAATGATATATAAGGAATAATAATCATTTTTAACAATGTGGTGGACTATCGTGTATTTTCTGGGTTTTTGTCTTCAAAAAATGATTCCAAACTTTATTTAAAACGGAGTTTTTGTCAACCAACCAACCATTTGAAAAACTTGTTAAGTTTCACACCCAATTCAGACATTCGAACCGTTATTACTGACCTAAATTAATATAGTATACATAATTGTAAACTTCCTTAAACAGTTATAAATGCCATATGTCATTCAATATTTCCCAACTATTTAAAATTAAGAAAAATGGATATTGTACTAAGGGAATTTTTATAAAAGACATATAAAAATAGCATTAAAAATAATAATGTTTAATGTGATTTAATACACACTCTATAATTATATCTATTGTTATTTTAGTGATAGGGTAAGGGCCCTCGGAAAATTTTACAATCAATGTTTCTATCCACTTCCAGTAAAAAAAAAACCTGTGAACTGGGTAGGATTTGGGATGGTCAAAAAAATACACTTCAATTAATTGATGATTGATATTATAATATGAAACCAGCATAGCTTTTTTGTTGTACATTTTAATTCCTAATAATAATTATTAACTACCAAAAAAAGAACACTGGTTAAGATTATCGTTTTATAAAAATGTACATTGTTTATTTATTATTATTTCAATAAATAAATTAAAATAGTTAAAACTTGTATCTTACATTTTTGAAAACTATTTACGTATTTAATGTACAACATGCCGTGGATTGTGGTCATATTATAATCAATGGAATCAACATAATATAACGATTCCACGAATTTCTTCTGGTGATAAAATAAAATATAACCAATAGGCAATAATTATTATTTTTGTTGTAACAGTCGGAGATTAATATCGGTGCACCAGTGCATACAGGGGAGAGGGAAATATAATACATATTTTAGGTTCATGTGGGTGGTCTATTCTTGGAAAAAGGGATGCCTTAATATCCCCCAACGTTAAATCATGTTAAACGTAAATGTACCCATGTTTCAAATATAGTCTGTAACTTATTTTCTCACGTTTACCATAAACTATTTTATAATTTATTATAAAATTCATAAATATTAAGCGATATACTGTTAACTGAAACAATAATGTTTAGTTCACGTTTTTAATTCATATTTAGTTATAAGTAAAATATCAAAATATAATCATTTGTATAGGTTATAATTAGGAAAATGTGAAGGTCTCCAAACTCATAATATTTCGTTTTTATTTAGATCTTAATGCAACTACTACAGGTACTTTTTTACTTAACTCATTTTACGATTATGCGTTTAAAATTGTCTTTGTTCGTGTTATGATGAGGTACAACATTCCTCGCAGATATGTTCATTCAATGATACGATTCTCAGAGATCAAAAATCGTAAAAAAAAAATTAACCACTCATTCTGTTATCCATTCAAATATTTCTTAGTCTATACAGAGTTGCATATAAAGTTAAAAAGCATTTTTTTTCATTATTCATGTGTGATTGTCTGAAACATTAAAAAGGCAAAACAGGTTTATTGGCGTTTTGTCAGAGCGCCAGCAGGTGCACCTATGGTACCCCAGGTATCCCCTCCAATCTACCCTCCCTACCACATGACCCGGCTAAGATCCATTATGCGAGTTTTTGTACTTATATACGTGAGTGTATATATATATAATATAAATTTGTATATATATAAATAAAAATAAATATAAATAATATATGTACGTGTGTGTGTGTATGTACTTAGCTATGCCTGGAATGCCGATTCATACCTCATTTCATCACGTTTTTGACCACCATTTTCTTCCTTTTATTAACTGCCGCGTACTGTTCCTTTTGTCTGTTCTGCTTTCTCCAAATCGTATAAAAAAAAATGAATAATTAATATGGATGATACACTGTGATGTTGGAATGTTTAACATAACAAAATTAAAACAATTTACTGGTTTCTTTAACTTTTTAGTTTCTGACATTTTTTTTTGCAAATGGTTTTTATTCCTATGTTTTTCTCAAAACAAAATATAGTTGTTGCATACATTTTGGTTCATTCACTTCATTCAAAAACAGATTATAACTTACAGATTACAGAAATGTGTATATTATTTCTGTAAAACCATAATTTGAGTTTAATTGGTTTTTTTTACTTATGAGAATTTTTTATGAATAGGACATCGTATCTGTGTGATGTTGACTACTCTTCTGACACACTGGAAACATATTATCTAAAAATCGGATCCTTACTTTTCGCAAGAGCTTATATATAGAGCCAATAGTCATATAGGTATTTAATATTAGAGTATAATTATCAATTTTATTTTGGCTCTAATATTAAATTTGAATAAAACATTGTTTCGAAAGGTCAAAATTTAAAATTCCCAGTAATTTCCAAAAGAGCCGGAAAAAATAAAAAAAAACAATTTAGGAAAAACGGGAATTTTTCTCAAAATCGATTTTGGTTTATGGCGTCATTCGATTGCGTCCGTTTCAGCCTTTTATACCTTTTCTGTGTTTTAATTGCGTCCTATTGTACAGTGGGTGAGCGTTAACATACACATAGTATATTTATCCCATATGATGGTGTGCACTGTGCAGATCTATTTAAACACAATCTGGTCTTCACTTAATGAGCTTACGAAAATTGTATTTCATGACCAGTATGTACCAATATGTATATATTGATTAATATATTTTGACTGATTATTATTTATTTTTGTATTATTTTTTGAATATCATTAACAAAATAATTACTAATTATGACTAATGTATCGGACGCAATCGGAACTTCAAAAAAGATCGAAAAAATTGTATAAATATCTAACTTGCAACACTGCAGAAAAGTATAAAAGGTTGAATCGGAAGGGGTACAATAGGGATGCAATCGGAACACAGAAAAGGTTGGAAAAAAAAATCATATGCCTGTGTCTGGGTCGCAATCGACGGTCTCCGGTGTAACTAGGCCTGGTTCATAGAATGATGGGCCCTGGGGCAAATAGTAACACCAAACAAATTATTTATCATACATATAGTTCGTAAAATAATTTATAATTTAATATGTACAGAAATTCTGTATTAACATGTGTATACAGTACTACAACTTTTGTCTGTCTATATGTGATACAAGTACCGAAAAATAAGACATAACCGATAATCACGATATCATGCCTTAAGTCTTAAATGTAATTTTTTTGTGCATGTCTTTCGTCCCTATTTGGGTCAGTAAAAATGCTTCAATTTTCTTCAACAGAATCTTTTCTGGTAAGACAGTGAAATTAGTTGATACTTTGGAGGGGAGTGTCTAAA